CATTTAAAAAATTGCCGGTATTTTGTCATCAAATTAACTGTAAAACGTATGTAGTGACTAAAACTAAGTGTCTAATTTCCTTTAATTAACCATGGTGATGCACTATAATAGTATAAATGTTTTAAATACACTGTATGTTCATCCAAATGACAACTTTCCCCAAATAAGACTTGTTTTCTAATTTGTGTTCAATTTGTGCAATCGTTTGAAACGATTTTATAATAGTTACAAACAAAACACTGATTATTTAGTTACTACAGTATACCAGTAAGTTAGTTAAAAGTTTTTACTTGAGTTAACTAACCTTGATGTTGCTATTAATAATAGTCATAATGAGTATTTATGTGTCATTTGCACTTAAATGTATTCAAAAAAGAGTACAAACTTCCAAACTATTAGTTTAGTTTCAATCAATTGTAATGCAATTAGTTAACCAAATAATATAAATATAATTATTTTATAATAGACTTGATTAAAAGTGTGAATCTCGTATTTATTTTATGATATTTTATAATAAATCGTGTAAACTATTTACTAAAATAACTATTAGTAGTGTATTTAATATGGGAAAATTATTAAAGTTATATTTTGAACACTGAAACCATTTATTTTGAATTGAATTATAAGTCGTCTAATCTTTTGATTAAATTATCAGGGTCAACCTTTCCTTTAAAAAATACATCTAATGGTCAATACTTTTCTATACTACTATAAAGTAGCAGATAATCAATTAAATTACTGTATAATTATTTGAATACATGTGAGCTTTGAACAATCATAGTAACGTTAGCTATTTTTATTAATACTTTAAAATGCAGTAATATTTTAACCTGATAAGTTATAATACTACTCGTTTACCTTAAACCTATGAATATTTTAGGAATAATTGACTTTTGCATAGAATTAATAATTAGATATAATAGATATAAAATAGCTAACGTTACTATGATTGTTCAAAGCTCATGTATCCTTCTAGAAATGATTGAAGTTTTATATTGAAAATTTCAATTTCAAATGCATTTTAGTTCATTCATTTTGTTACCTGTTTGAACGTCTTTGTTAAACCTTTAACTGTTTAACTGTCAAATAATAGCATTTCTCCTCTTTTAAAGTATAAATCAATTGTTTTAGTCTTAAGAGATGTCTGGGAATGAGTCGCGAGAGTTTGATGTCGTGGTCTTCGGGGCGACAGGTTTTACGGGTCAGTTCGTTGTGGAAGAGTTGGCCCGATCGGCGACACAAGAGTCTATCAAATGGGCGATCAGTGGCCGAAGCGGACCAAAGTTGGCTCAAGTGTTGTCCGTCGCCACCAAAGAGACCGGTATTGACGTCACAAACATACCCACCATTGAAGCCGATGTCCAATCGGAGGAGTCGTTGCGGGCGATGACGGCTCGCACTCGACTCGTGTTGAATACTGTGGGTCCGTATCGCTTCTTCGGGGAACAGATGGTGAAGGCGTGCGTCGAGACAGCCACCAGCCATCTGGACATTAGTGGTGAACCCGATTATATGGAGAGAATGCAATTGAATTACAATAAAGCCGCGCGAGATAAGGGTATATACATCGCCAGTGCCTGCGGTTGGGACAGTATTCCCGCCGAATTGGGCATTCAGTTCCTGAAGAAGAACTTCAATGGAGAAGTGAATGCCGTCGAGACCTACATGTCTATCAAAACTGGGCCTCAGGTATGTGTGACTCTTGTATTGAATTGTTCGTAATTGTGTGCATTTAATGTGATGTTGTGGTGGTATAGGGCGTCCGAACCAACTTCGGCACCTGGCAGTCGGCTGTCAATGGATTCGCGGCACAATCGCAACTGAAACCACTTCGACGCCGACTATACAGTGAAGTGTTTACTAAACCGCGTCCGCAATCCAAGTTTAGATTGAGTCGAAAGTAATTTTCTTTAAATACTACTCAATATTCATGGATTGTAATCAAACGTCACTTTACAGAATACTACCGTTCCGTTCGGAGTACGCGAGAGGTTGGTGTCTGCCATTCCCGGGCGCTGACCGGTCTGTGGTTCAACGCACACAACAGTACCGATACGAGACACTCAATGAAAGGCCCGCACAAATGGAGGCCTACTTTACTGTCCCTAACTTCTTAGCACTGATGGGTCTGCTGTTCGTG